GTTGTAAAGCTATGAGAGGGTATCCGCGTATTCTGATAAATCTTTTCAGAGCATTAGCAACATTAGCCACTAATGGTATGTGCAAAACAGCGCTTCCAGAATGTTTGGAGAAAACGAAAACACTATTCGAACAATTTTTNGGCCTGTGCAACAGGTGATGGGTCATTTCTGCCTTTGACATGCCATTTCTGTTAAGTTTCGTCTTTCCTGATAGTTTAGGCATATCGTGAGGCAAGCTCGAATATAATCATTCCAGGTTTGCCCTCTTTACTGACTGCAGCTAGTTGAATACAATTACTGGCTATGAAGCGTCCAAACAGCACCTTTGAGGACAGATTTTTGTCAAATTTGCAGTTGCTAACTGATTCATTTCGACAAAGCAGGACTAATCGAAGCATTCGACGTTGTTCTTTCAGTGAGGTTCGTCCAGATGTACGAAGAACGCAATACTGTTATGGTCTAGCACAAACACCCACTGGTCACGAGCTGGTTAAACGCTTGTACGAGTGGTTCAAGACCAACTCACATTACTTCCACCGTGATGCTGACAATCTACTTAATGCAATGGCATGCACAACAGATGATGATAAAATGAACAGGTAAGCAGTGATAAACTTTATCATTTCATCGAACATCTTGTGGTATTTCGGCGTTTGTTACGTATAGATGGTCTATTGACTAATCTGGTCCCGAACTCTATGCAACATACAATTTAGTTCGTTTTAATATGCAAACTTTTGTCGTTAGGTTATTCGCTTGTCTAAAATTGGATTTATGATACTGATAATGTGAATTTTCAGTTTCATCTCTGATACAGTCGAAGGAAAATATCCGGAGAATGCGCTCCATATGGTGGCCGTTCACGACACAACAGATCATGTTCTATGGAATTATTTCAAGCTCAACACCGAACAGGTTATCTACGGTGTGCCGAGCTTCAACAGCTATATGACAGCTGCTGTTGGAACTTGGAATCAAGCGGAGAATATCAAAGAGGTTAAGACTCAGATCATTTGGGTGACATTTGATGGAATTGATGCAAGGACAAGCATGACGAATGCACTTTCAGATGGACGATTTTATTGCTGGAATCGAGCTAAGTGGAGATAATTTGGCGGTGATAAATGAATTTAAGAAGAAGATTCAGCAAAACATCGATTGGCTGGCGAAGAACCGAGATGACATTATGACGGCAATTGAACAAGAACTTCAATAGAGAATGATATCTGTTGCAATTTTGTATTCATTATCTCGATATTGCATTAAGTGATACAGTGAAAATGGAGTGCTGTATGAATTGTTTTCGCTTCTTACTATTTAGTTTTATTACTGTTAATCAAGTATGATATCATTTGGAGTAATTCTTTGCCGAGCTTGCGTCATATTTTCAACAACGAATCACTTAATGACAACTAATTTTTCAAAAGATTGATCAGTCACTTAATTAAATTGACCTTCTTCTTCTTTTATGTGGAAATATTGCGGTAAAACCTCATAAATGTGTCTTCGAAATCATTAAAACCTAAATTTTTTCCGATTCATTTCAATTTTTTATTCGAGCTTGCATTTCCTCATTGAACGTTTTCGTACGATCGTATTGTCAGCTCAAATCAAATCAAATCAAATTAAATTAAATCAAATCAGAAGTCATCTGACGATGGGAAATTTTAGTGAGACGGCAGAGTTTCATTAGAGAATTTATTATTGAAGTGAGGGTATGACATTTTAACTGGATGTTTCTCAAATGAGATAACTGCATTAAGTAAATGCTATTCGACGAGTTTCACCAGACAAAAACTGCGTCAATACGTTTTCATCTCGTGTTCGGAGTGGTTATGATGTGGAATGTCAGTGCGCTGACACGGGATGGTATTTTTTCAATCTCTTCATATTTAAAAAAAAAAACAACAACTTTACAATCTTAAGCACATAAAAACAAACTGGATGTTCACAGTTCACAAAGCATCCTCTTTTGCACTTTTGCACTTAACAAACTCTTTTTGTTTGCACTTTGATTGAAATGTACGTAATATGAGAGCTGAACCTCACATGATCGATGCAAGCAGTCCGGAAGCCACAGATGTTCGTGGTGGGATCGAAACCCTGTCACTGAAATCGGATAGGTCTATTCAAGTCGATTGGATCACAATCCAACGTTCAGAACCTCACACAAAAATATGCTGAAAGTTCTGACGGCTGTAGTGCTGAGAAAATGCTTCCTTCCGTTTAGTATCTATGAGATCTGATCCTTTGCTAAAATCCAGCCTAATCATTGAACTATGTGGAACGGAATGGCACGATTCAATTGAAGCTTTCGTCTTGAAGGTGGTGTGGAATGGAACTTTACAAATGTAATTAACTTTGAGTGATTAAAAACTCAGATCAATAGAGTCAAAATGAACGAACAGTTGGTAACACTTAAGCGATTCCTTAAAACGGCTTAGTTATTGCTTCAAAGAGAAGAGAGCATCTATATTGAAAGTGTTCTCATTACATTAACAACGGAATGCTTCTTCGTTCCGTGAGTTTAATGTAGATTCATTATGTTCACAAACTTGTGTAGCTCATAAATTT